TAAAAGTAGAATTATTGCGAGAAATTCCATCCAGTCTGGAATCTTTCTACCTTACATCTAAAAATACACTTCTTCTTCTTCTTCCTGTTCAATGGTATAGGTCATTGGCCTGTACTGCCTCCATCGGCATGATATTTTAATAAAAAGATTATAATGTGAAAAACAATAATTTTATCCTTTCTGTACAGTTGTGAAATGTTGTCACTTTCAAGGAGGAAAATGGATTGAGGGTGAGGGAGAACCGGGTGCTGCGAACAATATTTTGGCCTGAGACAAAGGACGTGACGGGAGAGTGGAGAAATCCGCATAAAATGGAGAGTTTCATGATTTGTGCGCTTCACCACATATCATCAAGGTGATCAAATCGAGGAGGATATGATTTTAAATTCTCTGTATTTTAGACAGCAGACATGAAGACTGCAGAGACTGCACTGAAAGCGGGGTGCTGATCGTAATGATTTTCACTTTCTTGTTCATAATATACACGATAAATACTTGTGAGAGTGAAAAATAATCAATGTCGAAATATTGGCGGACTCACTCTTTTTCAGCCCATTATAAATATGAAAAAATGATCTTTGGAATAACGTTTTCTGTCTGTAAAGCCTGTGTATTTATGTATAGACGTACCCCTCCATATTGTTTAATTTTATTCATATTTTGAATTTAAAACTTTATCCATCATACTTTGGTGCCCCGTGAGAATGAATACTCTAGTTCCAAGATCGTGGGCCATTGGAATGGGTTCTAGAAACAAAATTATTTTAACGAAAACAAATCTAACGATTTTAATTACATTATAGTAATTTACGGCAATCTTCTCCCTAAACAAGAAAACACGGGTTGTATCTTCAGGAAAATAAAGACATGCGCGCCAGAAATCAAAAGAAGGAATGCTGATTTCGTCGAAACCGACTTTATTGGTGGGGCGAATTTCAATGCTGTTCTGTAATCTGCAACAAACAATGGCCTACCGAGCAACAATCGAATTTGTTTTAGAGATTGCGTAATCGTCAAGCGCATGTGACGAAATAAGTGCAGTGTCTTTGTACTGATTGTTGTTGTGTTTGGTGACACTGAAATTGGTTTATTGGACTCTGTGATGCGCATAGTCAGAGTACTGCTTTGATCTGTTGTCACAGCGGATCTGTTTCATTGGGTTGGAATGTAATGTGGGGAATCGCGTTTATAGGCTACCACAAAACTTGTTTCCACAGCCATATTGTATCTAACCATTTCCGATATTAATCGACCTCAATGTTTCTTTCAACACAACCTGACGTCCACTCATTTATAATTAGTATGCATGCTTCCTATAATACTGCTTGAATTGATTTCTCCCAGACTGGACTTCCCGTACTTAGCTGAATAGACTCTCATTCGATACACGATGTTTAGCAACTGCTGGGTGTTGCGTCACCAGTTTTCCCTCAGACAGCTGTGTTCCAAATTAGTCTAGAACTTGCGACATTGAAGCCACTCAGACTGATTGATTGTGGTTTTATCCTGGTGCCTCGCAACGCGTTACCTATATTAAAACTGAAGAACGTAATCAATTCTGTTTAACTGATATTTTCAAGTGATTTTCGGAGCCAGAATTGAAGTCTGTTAGATTTGACATGCTCACAGCAGTTGCTATTAAGACTACGATATTCTGGGTTGTAACGCCGTGTAGTTAAGAGAGAGATATCTTTCGGAGAAATACATATCCTGCATCTTCAGGGTAAAAGAGTAAATTAAGACATAGACCGACAATAATGAAGCTGCAAACAGAGCCGCTTGTTTATTGTTGGTATTTTTCTTGGTTTATTCTTAGATGCTGAAGATGGAGGCGCTATTTTCCTACGAAACGTATGACTGTGTATATAGCGTTACAACCTATAGAGGTGCACTCTTAATTGTAAAGTAATTTTAGAGTGAATGTGGACCTTGTGTTATCCCTGAAACTGGGTTACAATCTTAGACAAATTCACACTTAGTAGAGGATTATGAAAACTATTCTATAAATAGTACTGACAGGGGAGCGTATTAATGCGAGAATATGATTTATAGAAAGCGTTCTGGATTGGATGACTGGGTTTATTGACACCTTAGATTCACACAAAACTCGGGTCTGCAGGTAATTACAGCGCTATCGCGAATCTACACGCTTTACAGTTCACCGTTACATAAGCATTAGGATTCTCAGTCTTTACTAGTCATATCCTGGCAATGGATTTTATAATCATCTCACTGACACTTCAAATCACATGAGGATTCTTCTTTTCACCTCCTAACTCCTTTCTTGCCATTATTCTGCTGCTGCTAATTCCGAAAACTCGACTCAGTCCATTTCCTCTGCTTCCAAGCTCATATCCTGACAGGCTGGAGTCCAGAAACTCGATTATTCACGTCATAATACTACGGTTCTATACTGCTCGATGCTGCCGAACACTTCTTTCTTCCCATTTTGCAAGGACCACGCAGAAAACACAGTCTCTAATGTTGAGAAGGCTTGTTCACTGAGCCGTTGCCTATCAATGGACACCCTACTTTTGCGCGCGTAAGCTTGTGCGGGAATGTGTTTATTTGGGCGTTGCCTAGCAATTGGTCTATGCGTCACAATATTAAAATATTCTTCAGTATCTTCGTAATCCGGCATACCAAATTTTCTACAAATATTCCCCTGATATACAGTGCATTCTTATTGCGACTACAAGTCAGTAAGTCTAAGAAGAGGCTCCACTTGTCACTCACACTGTAAAAGAAGTATCTGTCCGTACTTCTACAAACCTAATGTACTTGTTTTCGATGTTCAAGAGGGTGTTCAGGGACTAACTGCTGCACCAATACGGAGTATATTCTTGCCGGATGGCGATAGAAGGACTGAACTGTGTAAGGAGTTGCAAATATATTTGTTCCTTAGTTTATGTAACTATAAATTTTTAGCTGCATAGATTAATTAAAAATAATCGGAAACAGGATGTGGCCTATTTTAAGCTAGTCTATCAGCATTTTCTTGGAAGAATATGTTCGGAAGAACAGCCGACCTCCGATCGAGTATCAAACACAAGTCCTCAAGAAAAAGAGAGAGTGCTGACCAATCAACCGTTACTTTCGACGCAAATTAATTTGTTCCAGGGGACGGACATATAGACGCAGATGCAGTTGACTTTTGTAACAGTTTCGGAGAGCCATTCCTAGAATTCTATAGACAAGATTCACTACTTAGATATGCAGACAGAGTCACTGTTAATGGAGTGTTCCAAGTAGCAGATAGAGACATTATAAATCCAACCATTCACACAGAACTTGTTGAGCAAGTCACAGGGCTGTTACAATGGCAAGACTTGGAACTTAGTCCTTTTTATGATGACAACATTCAGCAGCTGACTAATTCTTTTGTACAGATTTATTCTCGATTAGCATAATTTGTACTTGTCTGTCAAGTTATTTGCATAACGCCTTTCTTACTGTCATAATCATGTCAGGGGTCCCGGAATCCATTCCTGTTGTCTTCAGGTTAGCTTTTTTTATAAATCGACTGTATGTTTACCAAAACATACTGTGCCCAGGATGTACTGGACGAGCTTTTAAGTGGTCCACTTTCTTCACAAAACAGCTTCGGACTATACATATCTTCCTGGCCAGGTGTTCAGGGGATTCCTGCCACGGGGTGTGGCGCTGAATGCTTGCCTTCACCTACTTACGAAGGAAGCTCACAAAAACTTATAGAGCTTTACTCTCCTGAATCAATGCGCCTTCGTGGTTTGGTTTTAAGGCAAAAGGAACCACACCAATGTTCTTCTGAACTAACTGAAGGAAATAACTAAGAATTGAAATCAAGACTGTCTGGGAGTTGCTGTCAGGGATGGCGAATTTTTGACTCCGACTCTAAGAGTGATGCCGGCTGAAAATTGGAATCTCTTCACTGACGACAGGTTCTTTGAACACACCTCGTCCAGTGAGTACGGGGTTGATATGCAGTAGACAAAGCCGCGCTGCCATTAACTTCCTTTTCATTTTGTGGCTTTACGGAAATTCACCCGGTTTTCCTTATGAAAGTTTGATGTATTTTCCAGGTTCATATTTGGAACCGTTTGTAAGTCAGTGGATCACTGTCATATTCTGAAGATGGAGGCAGAACTTTCGCCCAGAATGTTTCTATCTACCGACCAAACATAACGGCATCTCATCCCAGAAAAGAGTAATCTTCAGTCACCAGCACGTGAGCCCTAAATCTTGCAATCAATTCGTAATACGCTGTAAGCTTGTAAGATCCATTATTGCTGTGAGTGTAGGCTGTCTATGTTTTCATCTTCAGCACATAGGACTACTGTTAACTGGAAAAAGTGTGCTGAAGGAACTCAAGACACTGTATTTTCATGCTGCTTATTGTCGAATATTTTATCCGTGATATATACAATATCGTATTCAAGAACCCGTCTCGAAATCGAAATGAGGCCTCTACAGAAACATATAGATCACCATGACATAAATATGTATGGGGGGCGTAGAGGTACCGCTGCACATATTCGTAAGCTTAATCGTGGTCAACCTTACGCTCTGAGAGCTTCACTCATGGTAAAATAGCTCCCGGTACCCAGTGGATAGGAGGTTGTGTGAGCCTCAGAGTCAGTCTGGACGATGAGGAAGAGAAAATCTCTTGGTTCTGTCGAGAATCGAACCACAATTTCTCGGCCGTCCAACCCTTAACCTAGTCTCAATACCGACTGAGATGACTTGCCTAACATATGCAGCAGCAGATATCTCATTTAAGTCTACCATGGTTGTAATGAGCAGCGAAGATGGCTGGAAGACCTTACTGGTGACTACTGGCTGCAACAGTGATTGCTGTCCCGGGCCTGTCATCCTTCTAGAGTTGCGTGTAGACCTATGACATTCCGAAGGCCTTGCCTAGATACCTGCCCTGAACGCTGCGCACGGTTTTCTCACTGACCACTGACTTTAGGCGGCTCTCCGCGCCGGAGACAGGTTTAGTAGCCAGTCGGCCAGCAACTCGAGAGGTGTGCCTGGCGGGAGCAACGGTCTGTGCCCGTTAGCACGTTGTCGCCGTTGTTCCTCGGATGTATCAGTGTTTGTAGCTTGTCATAGACAAGGGACTGGTTCTTTCGTCAGTTTCATGAGTCAGAGTATTTAAGTTGTTCCAATGAGCTGGAATTCCCTTTGTGCTTGAACTCTTAATTAGTGAAGTGTCTGATTATCGAAAGAAGTAATTCTTTCTCTCTTTGACTTGACATCACATTTATTGGGGCATACATAGGAAGGTGGCAACTGTGGTGAATACTTTATGACTTCAGCAGATGTGAATACATATTTGTGAAAACTTACACATTTATAAGTTGCATATGATGGACAGTTACTCATTCGGCTTCAGTAAAAGTTGATCTTATTTAAAATACACTTCTTTTGTAGCTGCTGTTGAAATTCTTGTATGGTTAATTGTGATTCGAAAGAACTATCAACTCATGTGACAGCTGCCTGCTGTAAGTGACCTGGATTCCAGACGCAAACCCACAGTGGAGGATAGACTACTCGTAACGGTGGGTAAACTTGTGACTATTTATTATTTGTTTTTCGGATAAAAGTCAGAAACTTTGAAAGTGTTAAATATAGTAGACGACTACTTACAGAAAGAGTGGGTTAAATAATATGGATAAACTGGTTGGAAATGTATAAAACTTGGGCAGATCCACACATAAAAAAAAATATTATTAAGATGTTGAAAGTGTTACATTTAATTTAAAATTTGTTTTCCATCAAAGAAATCGGATATTTGTAACCTCTATTTTAAATTTTTTGAATATATTTTTAAATTTATCTTTAAATTTATACGTATTTAACCATTTAAAGACTGAAGTTCTTGCACACAGTATATAAACATTCAGTTCGTACCTCACAGAAATATATTACGTCCCCACCACAAAGAACAACTAGTTAATCCTGTTTAAGGGAGAGATCACTATCTGTTGTGATAACAAGTATATAAAATACAGGAATACACTCTGTTGACAGAATGTAGAGTTTTTGAATGTTAAAGCAGATGGTGCATATAATAACCACTATGGTGTAAAGGGTTCAATTTATTCACATTTAGTGTATGAGGAATAACCTCTTCGATTATGCGAGTTCTTTGCACATGACAGCAAAATTGAATGATATTCTAGACAAAAAGAGCGAAAAAATGAGCCTATTGGTTTTTAATTATGTTTTCTGTTAATTTATTTGGCGACACTGTCAGTATGAATGACTGTATAAGGGGTGGGCCTTCTTGGCCCTTGCACCGCGACCACAGTGATCTCTTCTGCCTCCCCTTCTGATTATCCCTCAACAATCCTGCGCTTCGAATGAAGCGTAGGATCTTGTACGTGGGGACGTCGAAATAGTCACTTTGTTCCGTAAAATATTGACCCAAGTGGCGCAATCTTAAATAAGCTAAGGCCTCACATTCGCACAGGATATGTGAGGCTGTTTCGTTTTCTTCTTGACACCTCTCACAAGTTGGGCTGTAAAGGTTCAGCCACACAGAGCACTACGCTATGTTCGCTACGTACGCTACGTACGCTGTCTACACTCTGCGACGCAGCTAACATTTGGAACATAGCATACGTAGCGTACGGAAGTCTGTGTGGCCAGTCACATTGGCAATAAAGGGAGATATTTTTCTGTTCGTATAGCGAACATAGCGTACGTAGCGCTTTGTGTGGCCGAAACTTTATTTAGTCCCAATTTGAAGAGGTGTCCTTTTAGGTGACAGTGTCCTGTAAGTAGTCCTACCACCCATTGTAGCTGGTTCCTGTTTAACTTCAACAGTTCCTTCGCTCTTTTAGTAGAGGGTCCTCGTATGAGTCCCTTTGCTTGCCTGAGTCCAGTTAAGGATCCCCAGTATTTCTTGTGTTTCATATTTGCCCAGTCCCTGATTGCCTTTCTGGCAACTCCTATAGAGATGCCACAGGCTGGTTCAGGTCCTATGAATGGATGTTAAGCTCCAGTCTTGGCCAATTGGTCTGCTGTTTCGTTTCCAGCAAAACTCTCATGTCCCAGCACCCATATCAGTTGTACCCTGTTATGTTTGGCCAGTTCCATGAGAATTTGGTGACAATCCCAGACCAATTTTGAGTTGATCTGGTGTTTGTCAAGCGCTTTAAGTGCAGCTTGACTGTCAGATAGAATGTAGATGTTCCTATTTCTGTAGTTCCTATCTAGATTCTCCATAATACATGCCTTAATGGCATATACTTCTGCCTGGTACACTGTCGTGTACTGCCCAAGGCTGAAACTGAGTTTCCGCCTCGTGCCTTAGCAGAACACACCAGCTCCAGTGCCCTTATTTATCTTGGAACCCTCTGTATACCAGATCAGTCCCCATTTTCTATCGGGCCAAAACCCGTCTTCCCATTCACTCCTTTCAGGAAATCTGACCGTGAAGGGTTTTTCGTATAATGCCTCAGTATCATTTTGTCAGACCCCATTTGTAATATGGGTTCTTTTTTCATGTCCTAAGTTATGTATGTATGTCCGAAACTATCGGATTTAGGTTTCCATTGATCACTGCATTGGAGACGGTAGATTCCTGCCCTGGCCTCTGCCTCCAACTGTAGATGCAGTGGAGGGAGTACAAGAAGTATCTCCAGTGCAGCTGTTGGAGATGTTCGAATTGCTCCTGTGATACCCAAGCAAGCCAACCTTTGTAATTTTACTAATTTCTGCCTTGCTTGTATTGAGTTTAACTCTGGGCCACCATACTGTGACGCCGTAGGTAATTGTGGGTCTTACAATCGCAGTGAATATCTGACACTGTCGGTAACTCCAGTGCGTAGCGACGAATTCTAGGACGATAGATGAATGCGCAGGACCTTGAAGGAAGCGGTCATGACCTAATCATTGTGCTATCTCGGCATTTGCCTGGAGAGACTGATGGAAACTACGATAAAACAGACAGGATAGCCCATGTCCTGACCAAGATTGGAAGCGAGGACCTCCCCAATACAAATCTAGAGCGTTACCGCTACACCAATCCGTTCGGTATTCGTTCTGTTGTTACACGTGTTTCTGACTATGTAATCTTAAATACTGCGTAAAAGGTAAAGTTGTCCCTGCACTTAACTATTAAGCACTAGGCCACGAAGGCATATGAGGGAGTGTATGTATAGATCCCCATTTCTTGACCTCAACACTAGCTGGAGTTGAGGGGTCAGCTTCACAACCCGGCCGCTTTACTCCCGGCGAAAGAGCCTCCGGTATCCGTTGGATAGGAGGTTTTGTGAGCCCCAGAACTGGTATGGACGACGTGAAGTGGGGAAGATTTTTGTTCCTACCGGCACTCGAACTCCGAAGCCTCGGCCGTCCAACCCGTATGCAGTCGACATAGAGACGCCGCTATCCCGCCTCCTAGAAACATGTATTCGTGTTGAATTCGTTGTGTTCATGTCGAATTAATAACGTCATGCTGCTTCCCTGACACCCCAATGCGGGACGCCGTTCAACATAAGTTTAGTAACTGATATAGTGCTGTAAATCTGCGATATTCATTATTCAGCTTTCGTGGATATGCTACATTTGGAGCATGGCTTTGTATGGGGCTGAAACTTGGACACTTAGGGCACTAGATCAGAAACACCGATTATGTGAGAAATGAAGAAGTGTTATTTAGAGTCAGTGAGCAGAGGAATATCCTACACGAAATAAGAAAACGGAAGGCTAATTGGATTGGTCATGTTTTACGCAGTAACTGCCTTCTAAAAGAAGTTATTGAAGGAAAGATAAAGGGTCGGATAGAAGTGACCAGAAGACGAGGAAGAAGACGTAAGAAGATGCTGGATGACCTTGAGGACAGAAGAGGATATTCTCATTTGAAGGAGAAAGCTCTAGATCGCATCAAGTGGAGGAACTGTTTTGGAAGAGCCTGAGGCGCTGTCGTCTGACAGATTACTGATGATGATTTCATGGATTAGGCCTTAATTTATTCTGATTCAGAACTAACTCTGAAAGTATGAGTCCTAAAATAAATGAAGGGTTGTTTGTGACGTCTTTCTGTTATTGAGAAAGGCCGGGTTGTCATGCTATCGAGTCTGACTTTCTTAAGTACCACAACGGGAGAATATAACTTCATTATATCAAAACGGAAATATGTCAGCGAAAATGTTTATTAACCGAGAAGGTCTCTCTAAGCAAGGAGAAATATTGATATAGGATCTTAATGGACTGCGAGATCTTCCGTATTCGTTCTTAGTTCAGTAACTATCCGAAGTTCAAACTGTCGTTGTAAGTCTCGCTGTAAAATCTGTGGTATGTAAACGGCATCGAACCAGAATGTCGCAAACACGCTGTCACTTGTCTTCCACCTTATTTCGTTGTGATTTCAGTTGACGTGGTAGTGTCTGTACATATAGTACTCTCGAATAGCCTATTCAGTTCGAAAAGCAAAGGCGTTCATATTTATAAATACTATTTCGTGAGAATGTAAGGTAACTTGGTACCTGTAAGTACGATTGATTCAGAGAGAAACTCGTTTGGACACTTGGAAAGAAAGCGCTTATAATTTAGCGGAATATATTTTTACGCATCAAGGAGGATGAAAGGAATATTATTGGGATGATGCAGCAATTGTAAATGAGAAGCAAATTCGTACAAAGTGTTGGTAGGTAATTCTGAAGGAAAGGGACCAGGTCAAGTTGTCCCTGTGCTTAACTAATTAAGCACTACGCCATGAAGGCGTATGGGGGAGGGGATATGTAGACCCATATTTTCTTGACCTCGACACTAGCTGGAGGTGAGTGGTCAGCTTCACGCCCCTGCCGCTTTACCCCTGGGGAAAAAGCCTCCGGTACCCATTGGATAGGGGGTTGGGTAGACCTCAGAGCCGGTCTGAACGACATGGGGAAGAGAAAATTCTTTACTCTACAGCGACTCGAACTCCGATCCCTCAGTCGTCCAGCCCGTAGCCAGTCGCTATACCGACTACTCCAACCCAGCTCCTTAGATGGGAGGATAATATTAAAAATTTTCTTAAAGCAATAGGCCGAGAGGGTGTGGATTGTATATGCATAGTAAGTAACTTTCTGAACCATATGTATATGGGAATGCAAGCGTTTCAGTTCAGTGGTTGAGTGTGTGAGACTTGCAGCACCTGAGAATGGCCCGTTTTGGGTGGAAACATGTCGTGCTATGTATGTTAATAAACAGTTGTTGCGTTGACGGTGGAATTTGTATATGTTAAATGTATATATACCTGCCTAGCTGTCTCGATCGGGAGTGTGCATTGGAAGGGGTGAGCTAACCTGCCTAGACTAGTGAATGTACCTGTTGGACGCATGCCTTGGTATTGTAACTATGTGCCCCTTGCTGTATGCTGTGTTCCTCACATCAACAGATTCCTTGTGGTGAGATTAATCTTAGAGGCACACAAAGATCTATCCTACAATGATATGTGGAATATGAATTAATGATTATTTTGATAAGGAGTTCTCAACCTATTCCATTTTGAATGCAACCGGCCATCTTACACAAAAAGAAAACTAGTCTCACTGTAGTGAAAACTAAA